TTCATAAAGGTTTGGGTATTTGTCTGATTTTCAATTCATGGAGCAGATGTGTTAACCACAACTTTTATGTACTTTTAGTGTTGAATAGCACTTTCCATTTTTGATGCAACAAACAAAATTGGGCACATTTTCTGTATCAGGCTATGTAATAGAGGCTAGAGGGATAAAAAAGTTCACCTAAATTTAATAAATATGTACTAAGTTCTTATGTGCCAGTTATTTTCCTGATACTAGGGATATAATTATCAATAAGACAGATTGATTCGTGACCTTTATAAAATTCGAGATACATTATTTTAGGAAAAAATGTTGACTCTAGATACAAAATTATACTTCACTAGGGAATAATAGTCTTTATTTTTCTGGAGTTTCTTAGCCAAGAATTGCTGAATTTGCTGTAAAATATTTGTAGTATGCAAATGATCTGTATTTTTGTTTGAGTTATAAAATTTGAAATGCAGCCTCTCTTTTTTGAACTTAATCACTATAGATTTAACAAATCTTTGGTTGCTTTTTCATAGTGACGGTTATCTTAATTGATGAGAAGCCTGGAAAGATCTTACTTATACTTAAAATGACTGTCCAAATACCTATTTTTTTAAGGAAATTTTGCCTATCAAAGATAGATTTTTTATTATAATTGTTTTAACAATTTATATAATGTCTTTATTTTTAGAGATTTTTACCTATTTCACTTTTGTTTTACTTAGCTAGCTCACCTCAGGAAATTCCTATTAGAGATGATGGATTTCCTATTAAAGGTTGTGATGACATCTTGGTGGTTGGACTGGCAGTATGCTGGGGTGGAAGGGATGCCTATTATTTTTCATTGCAGAAGGAACAAAAGCATTCTGGTAAGTAATGAGTATTTGAGTAAGTCACTATATAATTAGTGTAACATCCATTAGGGTAGTGATCTTATATTTTGAGAATAATTTCCTGATATTTACCTAGGATTTATTTTTAGAGTTTAAATTTCTTTTTTTTTTTTTTGAGACAGAGTGTCATTCTTGTTGCCCAGGCTGGCTTGCAATGGCCTGATCTTGGCTCAATACAACCTTCACCTCCTGGGTTCAAGCGATTCTGCCTTAGCCTCCCAAGTAGCTGCTATTACAAGCATGTGCCACCACGCCGGCTAATTTTGTATTTTTTTTTAGTAGAGACAGGGTTTTCCCATGTTGGTCAGGCTGGTCTTGAACTCCTTACCTCAGGTGATCCACCCGCCTCGGCCTCCCAAAGTGCTGGCGTGAGCCACTGTGCCCGGCAAAACTTGTAATTTTTTGGAGAGCAGCTGGCATATACGTTATTGCATATATTAACTGGAATTAATGTTTTAAGAAGCACTTCCTTACTTCTCCCTGCCTGTCACATGAGGCTATTAATGCTATGGGTTTTTCCTCTGAGTGGGCAGTGAAGCCTCAGGAACTCTCTTGCCATTTTCAAGGTTTGCTTTTGAAGACTAAAGTATGGCAGTTTATTTTCAGTCTTCTGACCTCCCATTGAATGGGTCTGAAACTCATCTAGAGGGATCGTTGAGCTAGAGGTCTATAGTTGTCGAATCATATAAACTTTGGAGAAGTCTTTGGAATGGAAAGGATGTAATCTGGAAATACCCTGTGATCTGACTGTGGTTGTTGGATACCCCAGCTGATAGGTTGGTTTTGGACAGGAGCAAAATTAATAAGGAAACATTTTAAAGGATGCTGTATAGTGTCTGTTCCTTAGTAAGCATGAAATATTTTCAGTTGTTTTGCAGGAAAATATGTTGGGGTGAGTAGTTACTTAAGCTTTTTCTTTATTTGGATAGAATAGTATCTGTTCATACTAAATCTCTCTTTAAAATTTATTTCCAAATACTTTTCCTGTCTTTAACTCCTCATTCTGGGAAATTTTGTTTTTAGAAGTATTAATGCTTAATATTTTCTCCCACCTAATTAAGTAGAGCATTAAAAATCTTCTAGCCCAAACCATAATTTTTAGATTATGATGCACTTCGTCTACATAGCTGATATGACCTTGATAAGATGCTGAATTACTCGTCACATGGAACCAGACCCTTAGGCTTCTAGTCTTTTTCAGTCTTTCTACTAAAGATTGCTGCTTCAAATGAAAACATGTAGTTTTTGCCTTAAAACTGTTTTTTCCTTTTTTTTTTTTTTTTAAAGAAATTAGTGCCAGTTTGGTTCCACCTTCTCTAGATCCAAGCCTGACTTTGAAAGACAGGATATGGCACCTTCAATCTTGCTTGCGAAAGGAATCTGATAAAGAACGTTCTGTTGTCATCTATGACTTCATCCAGAGCTATAAAATTCTTCTTCTTTCTTGTGGCATCTCCTTGGAGCAAAGTTATGAAGATCCTAAGGTTCTAT